AGGGGGTCGCTCCCCCCAACTTTGGGCCATTACATGGACCTATGAGATGGATCTGCCAGCTAACCTCCCATGGATGACGAGCAGGTTAGCACTCTCCTGATGTCCCCACCTTGAAGAGAGAGTTCTTTGAGATAGTGCCTCAACCTTGGATACCGTTTTCCGTTGCGTAAGCTAAGTTAGCTACCCACATAGAGCTTTGAGTAAATCCCGTGGTAACCTACTAGGTTAAGAATGCGATAAGAGTCTACAAAAGGTTGCTTAATAGGTATATCTATACACTAAACCCTTCCTACATTTTCTTTTTCAGGTGCATGATGCTACTGGTCGAGGCAAGCGGGGTGCTCGGTGTCACGGTCATACTTTTTCAACCGTGCGATGTTGTGATCTTGATACGCTCACAACCAACCTTGGAAAATCTGAAGTCCCATATTCATTTTTTGCTCGCCTTTGTGGCTTCGTCAAACCTTAAGTGAGGTTTGTTTTCGTCAATCGAAAATCACTTGTGCGAAATTTAAGTTTGTTCGGTCATGCGTCGCACAGTTGAAAAAGTACGACCGTGATAGTTGGTATCAAAGTCATACTTTGTGTGTCTAGTTAGACAAGATTGTTAGAGAAATGAATTCGAGGGTCAAATGAAAGTAGCTCCAGTGCATCAAGAGTGTCAGTATTGACAGAGTAGTTGTGTTGTTAAGATCGAAAACGAGTCATGAGTTGAAGCCAAAACTCCCCCAAGTTCATTAGTGTTGTGTGTCGACACCTCATTGTGAGGAGATCTACCCATCAAACTAGACCAAACTCATTTATCAAGGGTTTGGAGTTTCAAATTGGGAAAGAGATTCAATAAAAGGCACATAACTCCGGTGTCTTCCAAAGAATCATTCACATTAGAGAAAGAGTGTCAATGGTTGCAAAGTAAAGAAGTCGGGGTCAGACAAGACAAGCGTCCGCCAAGTACCAAGTTAAGCACAACATAAGTCCTTATGGAGGAAACGACCTAGTTGTTGAGAGGCAACCAAGTTTGAGTGGGGGAGGGCCCGAGTGAATGGGCTACTCACCCCATGAATGCTCTAAAGTATGAGGACACGTATATTTCTTGAGCCACCGCCTCTTGCCTAAGGTGAGTGGTTTCAAGAGGATCAAGACCAACATCAGCTCGAGAAGTGAGAATCAGTTGGACGTTGGAAAATAAAAGTGAAGCTGTAGGAAGAGCAGAGAAGTGTCAAGGCAGCGATCACCACATGAAGGTGGCCAGTTGAAGAGTTGACTGAATTTTAGTGCCAACACAAATCTATGTTTCAAGCTTTCAAACATTGCTACTGTAAGGGTTGGTGGCACTATGAGTAAATGTTATGCTTGGCTTACGAGCCTCGCCTCGAGGGGTGCGCTTTTATGTGCAACTGAGAGAATACGATGAGTGAGGCCAAAGTGGCCAAGCTTGGGGTGCACTTCCCCAAGCCTAGGCGAGGATATGTCGAAACTAGTTAGTTTGTCTTGCTTTGTCTTGTGAGTCTTGAGTCGAGTCCAAGGGTAAGGGAGATTCCAAAGGGGATAGCCCACAACCATAGTACAACTTTTTTTTATTGTGCTTATGTTGCGACTCTCAAAAATTGAGGGAATGTCCGTTAGTGGGATAGCTCATAAGTAGTCTACAATTTATGTATTCAATCTAAAGCACATATTTCTAATGAGTCCGTCCGCAGCCAGTTCGAAGTTAGATCATCATCGAGGATGATGCCGAGATTAAGTGTGGGAGAGTGTCACAATCCGTGGTGTGATTGTGCCCCCAAGTAAGTCATCAGATCGATATGACAACCCTAGAGGGGGTGAATAAAGTTTCAATCAATGTAATTATTTTTTTTTTTAATAACAATAAAACTTATAACATGCCATCAAACTTAAAATTTAGAATTTAAATAAGAAAAGGGTTAGAAAATATAACACCCTAGTTTTATAGTGGTTCGGTCAAACTCGACCTACTCCACTCCCCAAGCGCCTCTTGAGAATTTGAATAAAACTTTCTGACTCTTTCCTCGGATCAGAGCCCAACCGCTACACCGCTCCTTTTACGAGTGTAAGAGCAAACTCAATCCTTTCCACGGCTCTGGAACAAACCGGCACACCGCTCTTTTTACGAGTTCAAGAACAAACTCAATCCTTTCCACGACTCAGGATCAAACCGGTACACCGCTCTTTTTATGAGTTCAAGAGCAAACTCAATCCTTTCCACTACTCTAATAGATTTACAATTTTTTCACTATATAATAGACATCTCTCACGAATAAGATAAACAAGAAATATAATTGGAAACTTTGAGAGAGCACCAATGAAGGCTTTTTAAACAAAAGTTTAGATAGAGGAAACTGTTGATTATGAGATGTTCTGTGTGTTGTGTTCTGAAAAAAATATGAAGAGGTGGTAAGTTTAAATAGCGATCAAGTTGTAAAAATACTAATTGATACGGACCACTAAAACGTGAACAGAAACGAGGACCACGAAAAATAATATTTATTTATTTTTAAATTTATCATAAAAAATTATAGACTACATGTTTCATATATATATATAAAACATATTTAAATGTAATAATAAAATTAAAAAAAATGTTAATGAAAACGGTGGGTAACATTTTAAAAATAATTGAAAAGTTTTATAAATCTAATTCAAATCATTATAAATATAATTGAAATGATTTTATAATTCAAATAATTTCAAAACTAGTTTTCATAAATGTAAATGAAATCATTATAATTTCTTTCCATTTAGAAGTAACCGAAAACTTTTATAAATGTAATTGAAATGATTTTTATAATTAACTCTTATAAATGTAATTGAAAACTCTACCATTGTTACTCTACCAAATTGGTAAATGTCATACTTCAATTGGTCTATGATGTCAATTTTGCCGCTGGTCCATGATGTCAACTTTGTCACCACATCATCACGTCAACTATCTTGTTTTGAATTTGATTGGTCCATGATGTCAATTTTGTCTCCACATCATCACGTCGGGTATCTTGTTTTGATTGAAATTTTTTCGTTTTATCTCTAATTTGAGTGAACCAAAAAAGACGTTGAAATCGTTATTCCCAACCTTACATTGTGTACAAAATACTGAGAATGGTTAATAATTTAAGGTAGGTTTGTTATCATCAAAAACATCAATTAATTAATTTGAGATTAATGGCCAAAAAGCCAACAGCTACAAGTAAAGTGACAACTCTCAAGTGGCACCCATCCAACCATGCAAGGGCCTAGATAAGTGTCATGATGCGACCGAGTGAGTATTGAAAAAAGACATGACATAAGCAAGATATGATCCACGAGTGTCAAACATAGGCTTATTGAAGGGTCGGGTAGGGCTCTGGGCCTTAAACTCAAAAGTCAGGGTCTCGAATGGAATTTGGCATTCGATTTTGGAGTCAAGTTTGTCAATACAAAATATGAATGCTCGCCAAATTTGGTTTCAATCGGACACCGAACGAATGCTCCATGACATAGTATAATCGTTCGCCAAAATGACGTCTACTTGAGAAGGATTGAAAATGCCTCAAAATGTACCATAAAGGGAGACATAATGTTAGCTCTCCACGACCCATGGACCTTGTGGCCCAAGCGAGCTACCCTGTGGCACATACGTGTGTCACAGTGAGGGCGAGCGTTGTGAGACGAGTGCATGGGCTACTTTATTTGAAATTGATCTTTTAAGGACAGTACTGGCGGCACGAGTGTGTCGGTATTGCGCCCTACCCATGTGTCAGAGGTTGGATCATGCACCCGCTATCCGATATGAAATTCATAAATAACATGACATAGGCACGGGAGGGTCAATGCCTCCATTGAACTTAGATGAATGGATGTTCAGATGTCTTGATGTTATGAACGACATGTGCGTCCATTTTTTATAGCATGACCGAGTGACCTGTGATGGGCAACAACACCCCATGACTTGGGATAACGTCAAACATGTGAGCCATGTTAATTATGAGCCAAGATGATTTGAGAAGTGATGTTGCACATAAGAGATCTTGGCCTCAAGTAGAGGCAAGGTCGAGGTGAATGACTTGGTTTAATGTAGAGACAAGTTGGTCGTGTTGCAGATGATTGGACATGCACTCACTGGTGGCATGTGTGGTTAAACAGGTTTGGATTTCACACAAGAGATGTTCGATTGGCGAAAACAAACCTTACCTAAGGTTCAACAAAGCCAAAAAGTCAGGCGAAAAATAAATATAGGGCTTGTGTTCCCCTCAAGGCTGGTTGTGAGTGTGTCAAGAGGACGACAACGCACGGTTGAAAAAGTACGACCGTGACATTTGGGAGCCCAGTAGGCATAGAGTGACGTCGCCCCAGAGCGTCTATCTTGTCCACATATTTTTGTAGTCTAAAATGTCATATACATCTTTCGTATCCTGATCCCGTTCTTTTTTTTATGAATAAATTGAACATTTGTCATTGGTTTCTCATACATTGCATAGTCCATCACTCCTACTTTTAAGTGCTTTGAAATTCGGGTTATGACAACAGCTAGGGTTCGTTATTAGTGCTGAGAATAGAGGGAAATAGTTTGTTGAATCAATCATTCCCATAATTCCGTCTAATCGATCACTAGGTTAAATTGCGTTTTTGCAAACGCTTTTCAACTATGGAGTGTCTTCGCACAACGTCATAAAAAAAATACATACGTAACTTTTATGATCATTATTGAAATTCCAGTTTTTTTATTTTTTTAATTATAAAAAAAATGATGTTTTGAAATAATTTAAAATTTTGTAAGTGAAAAAAAAAACAGTGAAATGAATCATGAGAGGTGAAGCATTTTCAAAAAGCCCGCTTCGCCGCGCCACTATTTTTCCTCTTATTAAAAATTAAATCCTCCAAAATTCCATGTTTTCCCGCGAATCTAAAGCATCACCACGCTGGCAATCCGCGTGATCGCTCTCCCAACCAATCACATCTCTCTCTTCGTTCCTATATATACCAAAATCATCACTCCTGCTTTCACCTTCAAGAAGCCGATACTCTTAGAAGCCACAGTTTAGGGTTTTTCGATTTTTCATCTTTGTCAAATTTCATCAGTTTCTTCCGATTCAACAATGAGTTCCACTAAGGGAGGTAGAGGAAAGCCCAAAGCCACCAAATCGGTCACACGATCGCACAAAGCCGGCCTCCAGTTCCCCGTCGGTAGAATCGCGAGGTTTTTAAAGGCCGGGAAGTACGCCGAGCGAGTCGGAGCTGGAGCCCCGGTGTATTTGTCTGCCGTTCTTGAGTATCTTGCCGCTGAGGTGACCGGATCCTCTGTTCTTTTGCTTTTTTAATTTGTAGTGGTTTTTATATAATGCTGTCTTTGGTATAGAGTGTGTTCGTTTGGACTAGTTTTTCAAGTGCTTTAGTAAGGCAAAAATTGGTTTTCTCCTTTAAAATGAGTGTATTTGTACTAAGTAATAATCATTTTAGGAACAATCATTTTGGCTTAGAATCTAAAACGATTGATTAAAACAGCACTTCAAGAATCATCTTGTGGTGATTTAACACTTGTAGTTGTAGTATAATCAAGATAAATGTATCTGAGCACAGATTTTATTAGATCAAACTTGGAATTTTGTTTTTTATCTTGTATTTGTTGATTGGAATTAGGTACTGGAGCTTGCTGGGAATGCAGCAAGAGATAACAAGAAGAATCGTATTGTGCCAAGGCATATTCAACTTGCAGTGAGGAACGATGAGGAGTTGAGCAAGCTTCTGGGGTGCGTAACCATTGCAAATGGAGGAGTTTTGCCCAACATTCACCAAACCCTTTTGCCTAAAAAGGTTGGTAAAGACAAGGGTGATATTGGGTCTGCATCACAAGAGTTCTAGGGTTTTAGGTTGTATTTTGGGGGTGATTTTGGTTCTTTTCCAGAGATGACAGAAGTGTGATGTTGAAATGAATGGGGTATGGATCTGTTCCATTTGCTGGGTCATCTTGCTTAGTTTTGCTTAGATGCATATGGTTGGTCTGGATTCATGTAATGTTGTTATCAAGAATGATGATGATGATGATACTCCCTTCTAGATTTAGAAGTATGAAATGTGTATTTTCTTGTTCAAAGAACTCAATTTTGTGTTCTTGATTATTTCTGCTCAATAGTTGTTTTGATCTGAAATGATTTTAGATAGAAACTTGTTTCATTTCATTTAGGATATTGAATCCTTTTCTTTATGCATCCTGATAAACTAACCTAAGCTTTGAAAGGGTGGTTCTTAGTCCTCAGGTTCACAATTGAATTTGGTAGCCATGAATCAGTCCAGACCCTTAACCCAGCCCATTTGTTAGATGCGCCCAACCCATGTGTGCAACAGCCTTGCCCCAGGTCCGCCTCGACCCAAACACATGTCCTTGCACCTATTACCAGCTGACTTGCTTGCGCCTCCCCCATAATGAACCTGTACCTGTCTTCAACTCGTGCATCCCTAACTCCAACGCTGCTTGGTTTGACTTAGCTTTCGGTGGCTCCAATGTCTTAAACGACTCGGTTTATCAATTTTTAACCTATTCCACTATTTCAAACTTCTTTTGTACCATTTTTACCCTTTTAGATTTGATTTTGACATTTTGAAATGCATTTTAAGTACAATCACTTTGGCTGAGATAAAGTGTTGTAAGCTAAATTAGAGGTTTGATTATGACTATTACGTAGACTTGCTAAGTGAGTTCTTATTTTGTGTCGTGAACTGACATAGGTTAACTTGGATTAGCTCTAGAGATTAATTAGTGATTCACTTAAGTTACATAGATAAGTGGCTTTCCTATTGGTTTGATTGGATGAATTGTTGAAGTATGAATGGTGTGTCCCCTTTGACCCTTGCATGTATAAACCAAAGTCATGTTATGATGTTTTATGAAATGATAGGTCTCGAACATAATTGTATTTTCTAACTCCAATAGTGGAGTTACTAGTATATCTTAAAATACTTAACCACGTGCTAGTTTTATTCTTTAAGTTAAACTAAGACACTTCTGCATGGATAACAGTATTGTGGTGAAGTCTAGGGGCTGAAGCTAAGGGAGATGCATTCATATTATTTATAGAAATTCACTTTTTATTTTATTTAAATTTTTACTTTAATAATTTTTTGCAACATTGTTTTAAAATTTTTATTACAAACGTTTAAGTTTATTACATTATTTATGAATATTTTAAATGAATTTTTCACACGACTGGTTAAACATATATTGGTGAAGTTGATTTTAATATAAAATAATTAAAATTGTAAAAAAAAAAAAAAAATAGAAATTTATTAAAGCACAAAGTTCAAAATTGTGTACGATTAAAATTAATTAATGAATTTATTGGATCCAAATTACTTCTGTAGCATTTATCCGACATGAAAACTGCTTCAATGGGTGAAACAGCGGAGCGACGGCGCCGGTCGACGGAATCCTCCGACGAAGCTAAAAGTTGCAGGTGCAATTGTAATCAGCCAAAGTGAAGAGCATAACTCTCCCTCCCGTTTGCTGTTTGGAGATTAAACGATGTCGTTTTCCGATTCAGCTTCTGACAGTTTTCGAATTTTTCATAAATTATCCATAACTGTGAGGTTAGAAAACGATTGCGAAATTCACAAAATCCACAATACAAAATCTCTTAAAATTTCTTTCACACAAATTCTCCTCCTGAGATCGCTTCCAACCAGAAAATTTCAATGCAGTATGCAGGTTTATGTCACCGACCATGTTTTGGAGCGATCAGAATCCGGAACTGTTCATCGGAGGTGGATCTCCGGCGCCGCCAAGTTCTTGAGCAATTGGACGGAGAGCTAGCCAAAGGTGACGATCGAGCCGCTTTGTCTATCCTTAAGGAATGGCAGGGCAAGCATGGTGGCCTTCGATGCTTCGGAGCTGCTCGTCAGGTCAGTATTTGCATAGATTTTGATCGGAATCTTGTGGTTATTAGGAATTTTCAGATGGAATTTTGAGAAGTTTTATCGTTGATCTTCATATTGCATTCAAGGTGTTTGTTAAAATGCTTCAACCAGATTGATGGGAGATTGTACTTTGATCTTCAATTTCATGAAAGTAGAGTTGTTTTTGTTCAGATTCCAAAGAGAATTTACACATTGGACGAGCTAAAGCTGAATGGAATTGAAGCTTCATCTCTTTTATCACCATTGGATGCAACCCTTGGATCGATTGAAAGAAATATTCAAGCGGCTGCTGCTTTGGTTGGTGTTTGTGCTTGGAATGTGTTTCACATTACTCCGCAACACCTGTTCTACCTTTCGGTCGGATTCCTATTTCTCTGGACCTTGGATTCGGTAGCTAAACTTTCTTATATCTTCTAGTTATACTTGAATCCAAGCCCATCAAAATGATGAGACTGAATAATATGTGTAGGTGGGTTTGAATGGAGGAGTTGGAAGCTTAGTTCTTGATACAATTGGTCACACTTTCAGTCAAAAGTACCACAACAGAGTTATTCAAGTAACAATCTTCATGCATCATCCTGCTATTTTACTATATTTCAGCTTGTTTGGAATGGTTTTCTAAGAAAACCTAGTTATGAAATAGCATGAAGCTGGGCATTTCTTGATCGCCTACTTGCTCGGAGTTGTTCCGAAGGGCTATACGTTGTCGAGTTTGGAAGCATTGCAAAAGGAAGGATCTCTGAATCTTCAAGCCGGCACTGCTTTCGTTGATTTTGAATTCCTTGAAGAAGTAAGTTTCAGAATTGTAGTTCAACCCAATTACTTTTGCTTCTTATCATTTCACTTCTGCTAATATCCTTTGATTTCACAGGTCATTGCAGGAAAAGTTTCTGGAACGGTACATTTTCTACTTTGAACACCCCATCCAACATTAAAATGCTCGATTAGAACTCCTAAAGTTTTCCTATAATACCATTTTAATCTTTTACATTAGTTTTTGAGAAATCATTGTGCAAAAATCTGAAGACTTTTCCAAATTATGTCATTAGCTGGACTAACCCTCGTAAAGTTTAAGAACTAAAATGAAATATTCAAAAGTTTCGGACGAGAATAACTAAAAAAAATTGTTTATGGGAAGTGTTTTAGTAAGTGAAGTCATTGATTTGGGATTGTTTGGGTTGTTCATCAGATGTTGAACAGATTCTCATGCATAGCACTTGCTGGTGTGGCTACAGAGTATCTTCTATATGGATGTGCAGAGGGAGGCCTTGCTGACATTAACAAGGTTTCATTTCTTACTGTCTTTTACCTAAATCCTATCACATTTTTGTTTGGATATGATTTTTGTTTGGTTTTACTCGAGGAAACAATGATCTAATAATTGATTTGGTAGGCCTTCTTTTTGTCCCAAAATTGAACAAGACGTTATCAAACCCCCACCAAATTAAGTCTATGTCGTTGTACAATGAAAAACTAACAAAATTTGGTAGTATTTCTGCTTCTTGTTGACAAAAATGTGTCCATAATCATTATTATTCGAATTTTTTTTGGTATTTTTTTAATAGAAAAAGGATATAATTTTTCATAACACTTTTCCCGTTCTTCTCCCAAATTTTGAAGTTAGAAAAATTTCGAAATCTTAAAATTTCAAGAACTAAACTTATAGTTTTTTATATTTTTAGAAGTGAAATCTAGACCAAACGTTTTTATTTTGTTTTGGTCTTAAGGTTGATTATTCCATTTAAGTAGTGAAAATCGATCCGAACGGAATCAAATGGTTGTATTTTTGTTAAAATTGCTATATCTTGAAGAATGGTTTTGGTTTTACAATTGGGGCAGTTGGATTTGTTGCTGAAAGGGCTAGGGTTTACACAGAAGAAGGCAGATTCCCAAGTAAGATGGGCAGTTCTAAACACTGTTCTGATATTGCGCCGCCATGAAAGTGCTAGAGCTAAGCTTGCAGATGCTATGTCTTCTGGAAAATCTGTAGGGAATTGTATTGACATTATTGAGAAAAGTATTGATTTTGATGATATCTAAATGAAATCACACGTTTTACTTGTACTTCTCTTGATTTTTAAGATGCTACGGTACGAGAAAACGGATCACGAAGAGTTAGAATCTAGGAGTTGTTTGAAGTGAAAATTTTCAAATGTATTGAGTTGCAATGAGAGTAGATTTATTTTATGTTTCTCCTTCATTCGACTCTTTCACAAGCCTATTTGAGCGGAAATTTAATTTTTTATCACACGATTTGTGATGTATATTATCTATGATACACGTACAAGAGAACATCCTTGTGCAAAGAATCTTCGTTGTGAAATTTGAATGATTAACAATACTGTCTACTGGACCGAACCTTCCAAAGTCATTGGTAATTATTTTATATGTTAGGAGGTTAAAGTGTTACAAATTTTAAGTTACAAGGAATAAATAGATACAAAACTAAAAAGTAGAATTGTTTAGTAACTTCAGAAGAGTTAGACTCTAAATCACGAGGTAGACTTGAATTTCATCCTATAAGTTTGAAACTATCTTGATAAGTGTGATTGTTATACACTTTCAACCATACATAGTCATAATCTTGCATGCTCACGAAAAGTTTTAAGAGGAACTCAAACCCCATTTACATCGCTTGTCTTTGTAGCTTTGTTGAATCTTAAGTGAGGTTCTCATTCGCTGACTGAACATAACTCATGCAGAAACTAAGTTGTTCGGCTACCCATGCTACCCATGTGTGCATGTTCTCTTGCTTGTGATTTTTAGCTGACTTGTCTCTACTCTAGATCAAGGTCTTCCAGGTACAATGTAGCATCTCATCTTGTCATCTTGATTCCCCACAACATAGCTCATGCATCATGATGTCATTTCAAGTTTCAGGATGTCATTGGCCCATACTAGTCACTTAGGCACACTTGTCGAAAATCGACCATGAGTCGTCTCTGTCATTAAGACATCTTGAGCATCTATCCATTTAGGTACTATCGAGGCATGAACCCTCCCATGTTCATGCCAAGTCATCTATGAATTTTGTATTGGAGAGTGGTCCCATATACCAACCTTTGATTCATGGGCTGGTGTGCAATGTTGACACACCCGTGTCGTCGAACACTGTCCTAAAAAATTTATTTTCAAAGGAAGACGGCCAAGACATTCATCTTGCATCACTCACCCACAGTGTGATACACTTATGTGCCACATGGTAGCTCACTTAGATCATAGGGCCCATGGGCGGTGGAGAGCTGACAAGATGCTTCCCCTAAAATACATTTTGAGGCATATTTGATCTTCTTGGACTTGACGAGATTCTAGCGAGCAATCATACAATCCCGAGGTGGGTCCGTCAGATATCCGATGGATACCAAAATTGGTGAGTTTTCATCTATCATATAGACAAACTTAACTTTAGATTCGCATGTTGAAACTCATGTCAAAATCTCGACTTTTGTAGTATGCTCGAGGCCCTACTTGGCCTTCTTTGAGATTGTCTTCAACATTGTGTCACCATTGTTCCCTCTAATCTTGCTTATGCCTCAACTTAGCTTAAATATACACTCTCCTTGGTGTCTTGATGCGTTGTCGTCATTGGTCGGATCATAACACTTGTCTATCTCAACCTTAATGTGGCTCGATGTAACGATCCTATTTTTAATATTAAAATAAAGTTGTCACTACATACATGACTTGTCTAATATATACGAAAAATTCTTAAATACAGTTTAAAATATTGTCATAGACTTGAACGTTGGTAAAATTCATTTAGAATAAAAATTAAACTTCAATAAAATAATGAAATTGAAATAAAAGGAAATGCATACGCCCTAATCTGATCTAAGGACTACAACTTAATGAAAATGAAACTATTCTGACTTTATTTCTAGTCTCTACAACAATGTCATTATCTGTACAGGGATGCTTACTTTTACCTGAAAAAAGTAATACATGACTTAAGTATTTAATTGAGATTTAAAGAAATAAGTAACCCTATATGAATTGATATAAGTAAAAAAGGTTGCAACATAATTTTGAAGCAACAATGAAATAATTATGAATTTCGGTTAAGGCCAATCATGTAAGTGACCTTACGTACTCAACCATGTAAGTGACCTTACTCAACCATGTAAGTTACCTTACTATTGAAGTTAGGTAGTTGAATGTTGTATGATGGTGCATACCCCATGGCCCCTACATCGTGCACCATATTGTTTGTGCTATGTCTATGTGTTCTATGTAATGACATATGATGTTATGATATGTATGCATGTGATATCCATTACGCCATATCGTAAATGAAACGAATTACTATATATGTCATGTTATATATTGTCACGTAAAGTTATGTGATGGATCATATGATGACTGTCATATATATATGATGCATATATGATGCATATATGTACAACCATGAACGAAAGGAAAAAGGGAATGGTGTAATGTTATGCTATGAATGAAAATCATGTAGATCTCATGCATGTATGTATATCATGTGAATCGGAATACTTCCTCATTATGTTATGCAAGTAGGGACATGTACCTTTGATAATTATGTTCACCATGATATCATGCAGACCTTTCATTTTCTGCGGCGTCTGGTGACGTGTTAATGCGTTGTGCCCGACCAAGTCAGGCTCAGGGAGTACATATACAAGCCCACCTGGTGGATCCATATGCGCATACGTGGGCTGTGTGTGGGAAAATACTGCACATCCAACCCTGCACGGAACTGGAAAAAGCATAAAGTTATGTCACATTTTTAAAAGATCGTCCCAATTATGTTATGAGTGTGATTGCATTACGACAGTGGAGTGACTTGCTAAATGTTTTTTAAGATACTAAAGCCACGTGCTACCTTTATATATTTTAGGTAAAGGTAACGCTCCCCGAATGATGGAAGTCATGATAGGTAAAGTCATATGCTACCTTGCATGGATGATGATGGAAGTCATGATAGGTAAAGTCATGTGCTACCTAGGCTGGAAAGACCATAAAAGTCAAGATAGGTCAAGTCACACGTAGTTTTTTTATATTTCACGATCGAAAATTAGAGGCTCACAAAAATTTGGATTAGAATTGTAAGTACAAAAATACGACAATACAACTTACAAAAATACGACAATACGACTGAATGCCGATATCAGTAGCGTTCTCGAGAAGGCTATCCCTCTCATCAAGTCCGACTATGGACTATTTCTCAAAACTCCTAAAAGTGCTCTCACAAAGCATTTGGCAAAGTACAAAGGACCCAAGTTCACAAAAGGATTATAATCTGTTGTTGATCCTTAGAAAGTTTTGCTGAAGAAAGTCCAACCTACAAGCATCTTTACAAACATCACTACTAAGATAGTAGAAGAGAAATGGATAAATATGGGAAAATCAGACCCCTAAGATGAACTTAGTGATAACATATCAGAAGGCATCCCCCTCTCTCCCTACATGAATATTTTCATCCAAAATCAACCAACAAATTCTCCATACACGAGTAACTTTCATTCAAATTCCAGTAACATGGAAGATGAAACTCCTCCTCTGTCTATTGACTCTACTACTCCTACGCTAAAATGTTGGATCATCGAATTTACAATTCCTGCTTTTGCAGACCAATCTTCAAATTAGAACCAAGATATTAACCTCACAACAGCCTCACTCAACTCCTTGCTCTTCCCATTGGATTGATACCATTCATCTATGATAGGACATGCCTACCCAGCTCTCTCTTCTACCCTCCACTGTCAAACAGTCTTGAGAAAAATCCAAGTTTTCTTCAGCTAGAAACTTTGAAACTCGAACTTGTCGATAGATGCCTTCTTGAAAAGAAGCATGGAACAGTGTTCGAGAGTTCTCTAGAACGAGAAAATATAAAAAAGAAAGAAAGAAACGAAATCAACTGGGCTGCTCTCATTTTATAGAGAGATGAATACTTCCCGTTCTTTAAAGCAAAATTTGCCTTAAACATCGGAAGAATCCAGATTGGCTGTTCTCTCCCTCTCTAACACATTAACCTGCATTTTTCTTACCCAAATCTAGGTGATCTTCTAAGTATCACCGTTTCTCGCTCAATGCCTATCTTGACATGTTTCTTTGGACAGTGTGCTCCTCCATTTATTTGAAACACACTGCTTTTGTTGTGTGCTGATTGGTCATTTTGACTAGCAACTTTAATTCCATTAGCTTCAGGCATGTGCCTATCTATGTCTACCTGAGCATCATTTTCAGTCGTGTTTAACTTCCTTGGAGATTTTCGTGCGATAGTTGGGGCCTCACTTTTCAGATTACTCTTCTCTGAGTTGCATTTCTTCTGTACGTTTGCAGCCACATTATTTTCAATACCAATCTCTTCCACTTCCACTTCGGGAGATTCACAGTCATGAGATGAATCAATTATTCCTGGAGCAGCAGCATTGTCAGTCTCCTTGATGTTAGTAAGATCGACATGGTCGTTAATATTTGGGGGAAGAGCAGCAGGATCTAATTCAAATGATCCTTTCGGAATGCCTTCTCTTTCCTTTCCAGTCATTCTAACTGAAGGAACTTGATGAGAAAACCTGTACAACTCGTTAGGTGCAATCTTGAAGGAGTTCAGTCTAAGCTTCTCAGTAGTCTGAAACAAGCAGACAAACCCTTTGATCTTGTCCATGTAAGCAACCGAGATGCCAACATCCTTGACATAATCTGACAAGATTTCAACAAATTCATATTCAAAAGCTACATGTTTTTCAGGTTCAGAGCTCCATCTAATATCCCAGTCCTTGAAAAGAGCCCAAGTTTCTCCTTTTCTGGGATACAACAAGTACGTACTCCTCACAGACTGTTTGGGACAATGTACCATATGAGAGAACATGGGAAGATCAGCAGTTTCCTCAGTGTCTCCTAAGGTATACTTGCCACATGCAATGGGCAATTCTGCATCGCTCCAATCAATTTCATATTTGCTATCAGGATTTGGTTCGAACCAAGTAATCTGGAGCTTGAATACAGGGGAGAACACTTTTCTAATACGAGCATAAAATCTTGGCATGCCATCAATGGTATCATATATAGCCCATACCTGATTGACCGCAAAACAATCTTCCGTTTTATTGTTATCAAAATTGCTAAACTCAGGATCAGCACATACCAAAACATGTACTTTTACATCTTTGTTCTCTGTATCAATATCCTCAACTTTGGATTTTTTATCATTTTGATCTGACATGTTTTTTCCTTCTTCCATTACCTTCAGTTCCTCACATTTGGGTTTCATTTTGGGCAAGACTTCCGGATGTTGAGAAGGTACTTCATGTTTGATGCCCTTTTTGTGACCATCAACAGTACCATTACCAACTAAAGATTTGTCAACTGTAGATGCTGCAACATCTGCAGTTGCATCTTTCGTTTTCTCTTTAATGTCCGCAGATTCACTGCCCCTTGATTTCTTTGGAATCTGTAAATTATCATCATCATCACTTAAATATTTCTGGTACGAAACATGGTTCTTGTTCCTTGAAGATCTCCTTTGACAATTGCCTCTACCCTGACCAGAATCCTTTTCATATAAATCGTCATCATCAACATCTTGGTCATCTTCAGAATTGTTGACAGGTGTTGTAGCTGATTTTCGTTGTCGCTTCCTATTTCCACTCTTTGGAGCTGATTTGGGCTTAACAGTACCACCCTGTCCATCTTTGGCATCCCCATGTGCCTTCTGTTTTTTTCCACCTTTAGCATTCAAATCACTGCCAGCAGTGTAATTTTCCCTTGATGCTCGTTCAACCCCAGCAGACCTATCCTGAGATTTATTATCAGAACCATGTTTGATTTGTGTAGCTGATTTTGAGGATCCTGACTCAGGAGCTACTTTCTTCTGAGGGACATGACCTTGGTGGGAGGGTGGAGGCATATTTTGGTTATTCAAGTCATGAGAGATAAAACCTCTGCCACAATTCTGGCAACGCAACATCTTATTAAGATAACATTTGAGGTACTGATACCTCACATTACAAAATGGGCAGCACGTCCAAAAAGCCTGCTGTGGTGGTGGTGGTTTGTATGAATTTCTTCCAGGAAAATGTGAGAAAGGAACACTTGAGTAACCATTTGCAGTTCCACTCTCTTGCTTGTTCATTGCTGCATATCCATTTGACTGATCATGAGATGACTTAGGTGCAATATTTCTTCTTCCAGCTCCACACTTCATGTCATATAACTTGCGTTTTGACTGATCAGAGAGCAGCCTGTTAGCTTCACCAACAAGTTTAAAAGCAGCTTCTGCACCAGTAAACTTGTTCTTATCTGGGTGGAGCAACAATGCAAACTTCCGGTACTGCTTTTTTATAGTGGTTTCATCTGCTGATTGTTCTATTTGAAGAATCCCATACCAGTCATTTTCAGTTCCACATATTCTATTCTGAGCTGAACAGTGAATCTCACATACCGTTAGCAGTTGTGTAATATTTTCAAGTGTAGGAAAGAGTCTATGTGCTGTCTGAGCCATCTTCCTCGCCCCCAAAAAATCACTGATTTCCAGCTTCTTCTCAGCAATTTGCATAGCCTTAATGGCCTCCTCCTTGTTGCACTCCATTGCTACCACGTTTAAGTATTAACCATTTAAATTTTCAAACACAGATTTCTCAATTCACTTTGCTGGCCGTCAGTCAGCACCAAAAGTCAATAGTTTCAATCTGCATTAAGGTAAGCCAGTAAACTTAAAAACATTTCCCAAGACTTTTTAAAAACAAAGATGTATATTAGTATTCATGATTTGAAGTGCAGACATGAAATTAAGTTTAGAACAGAGAGAATTTTACCATCATCACAGTTGGATATACTGTAATAAACTTGAAACAAACTATGGCATCTCAATCAAAGGGATTGGGGCTACAACATCTATGAGTGCAGGGGATCCTAATACTTAATATCTGCAAGTACAGTTCAAATATGAAAAATCAGAACCAGCAAGTGTATGGAAAATATACGAGCAAAAAGGAGAAAAACACGCAAAACTAAAATTTGGAACTCCGAAACAATCACAAGCATTATCTTTTTCGTATTTGTTCTTTGTTTATTCATTATGATTGTAGGTTATTCACAGAGTCAATTGCTCCTCAGACAGATCATAAGCACAAGTTTCTAAACCTAAACATCATTCCTCATGAACAATGCATTTCCATTAGAAAATTACTTTTTTACTTAAAGAACTATTGTAACTGATGAAAACAATCCAAATATTCAATCAACCCCCAAGTTCCAACGAACAAAGTTCCTCGTTCAATGCAAATGGAATTTTCTTTTCTTTTCTTTTCTTTTCTGTTTTTACCTAACTGGTACACACAATATTATCAAATTTAAATTTAAGGAGTTCAGTGAGGATGTCCTAGCTATAAATATGAAGAAAACGACGAATTCATAAAATACTATCAATGTTTTCAAAGAAGAATGTGAAATAGCCCTCTGAGGACAATGAGCTCAAAAAATATGTGAGTACTCATGTGAGACGAAGAATGAAAAGAGAAAATAGAGGAAAGGCCCATTTAAGGTCATCTGGCTTCCACAATTCAGATAAAGACAGGTACCCTCACTAAGGTATATGCCACATCAGGCCTACGTTTTTTTCCCCTAAAAAATTAATAAAATGTGTTCTGTAAAACCTCATTTCCCAAGCAGCTACTATATAAAAAAATAAAAAATAAAAAATCATTTATAAAATGTTTCGTTTGAACATTTTTGCGGTTAGTACTCAAGCTCCAAAGGGCTCTCGCACTTCAATGTGCGTAGTGATTTGAAAAATATACTTTCAACAACGACCCCACAAAATTATTTTAAATTCCTATAATTTGAAACTATCATCACCTAATTTGGTTATATCATTATTAAATTTGATTTTAATTTAAACCCTAGTTCCACTGTCTAAGAATGTTGCACCTGCACCTAGCTGCAAGGTACGCTAAGATCCGTTCTTTTTAGGGTTATAAAACAACGTAAACTCTAGAAAAAAAATTGTTGTTTAAACTCTTGCCACTTCACCTCAACTAAGAAATTAGTAAGGCTCTTCCTAATAGGCCCACCAACTATTAGACTTCAAACCATTTTTACCCGCACAAATTGAAAATCAACCTTCCATCTGCCCGAGGAAAGCATTAGTACTAATGTACTTCAAAACGTCTAATTATCTCTTCAAGGAGCTATAATTTTGTCATAGATTTCCACTTCATTTCCCCGGCATCTAGCCTAGAAACTAATGAGTTCCTTTGCTGACCATAAAGAAAAATCTGAACAAAGTAGATCAACTTTCAACTCCTCATTCACGAAAACAACATAACAATTCAGCAGTAACAAAAACACCATCCAATCAAAGTTCAGCTCCGATGAAAACAAGTCAATAGCAGCAAAAATTACAGAAATCTGCAACAAAAAAACACGGAAGACCTCACAAACCAGGAAACAAACACCAATTAGAAGCAACAATCAGCTGAAGGAGCAGAAACATAAGCAAAACATAAATCAAAAGCAAAAACAGAGGCTCGAAATCAATAAACATGATAGAAACAAGAGAGTAAAATGGATTAAAATGAGGAAATGAAAAGGAAAACCCTAGAATGGAACCTGGAGGCAAGAAGAGAGAGAAGTAGCGAATGAGGGAGGGAGTTACCGAGAGCTGAAAAGCCGATTGAGCAGCGTCGGAAATGAAAGAGAAATGAAGAAAAATGGCGCGGGAAGAATGAAAAATTTTGGGGGGAAGGATGTTAAATTGCCCGACTTCCCAGTTTTTCTCTGTGAAATTCGGCTGTGTTTGTGTGTCTCTGTCTTCCACCCTCGGAACTGTCCAGTTTTCTGGTTCTTTTCATCCCATTTTTATACCGTATTTGTCGCAGGCCCAAGCCCAAGCCCAAGCCCAATCAAAGTAGAGATGTCACCCGGCCCGGTCGACACGTCCCTGCTCCCTATTTCAATTCTTATTCATGCAAAAAAAAAAAAAAAAAAAAAAAAAAA